ACGGACCCCAGAGCGCACATCAGACACGGCCAGACCACATATTGTCTTGCTACAGTTTGCTGGCCTGGACCAGACCAAAAGCCACAACAGCAGCAGCAGCAGCAACTACAACTACAAAAATGCTTGTAAAAGCCACTTTGGCTTTAAGCGTATTTGTGGTTGACGCTGACGCAGCTGCTGGCAGCGCTGCACGCGTCGCTGCTTGAAAGAAAACCAGCAACGAACAGCAACGAGACAGCGAACCACTCTTACTTACTTTGGCCAGAGACGCTTTTCATTTCTTCAGTCTGTTAACGGCATGCGAACGATGCAGACGCGGCGCAGCTCCAGCAAAACGACAAAAACTTAACTCGAGCTTCAACTGAAACTTGAAAGCGAACCTTAACTGTAACTGTAACTGTAACCCGAGTGTCCTAAAGCTAAAGCACATTGGTGCCACTGCTCCTCCGACAACTGAAAGTGCGTGCGCTTCCTGCCGGATACCCATCCGTGTCCCGCGGCTCTGGCTTGACCATCAAAGTGTTTGTTCAAAGTGAAATTTGTAGCTGCAGCAGAAGCAGCTCAACGGATTTATATCGCTCGCGTTTCCCGTCTGCAAATTAGTCAAAAATTAAAAGCAGTAATTGAGTTTTTGGCAGAGTGAAAGAGCAGCCACCGCTGACTGCAGGAAGGAGAGCGGTAAGTGGCCAAGTGCGGGACGGGACGGGACGGGACGGGACCATCTAACGTCCAACTGCCAAAAAAGGCAAATAGAAATTGTTTCTTTTGTTTTTGTTTTTGGTTTCACTCTCCACACAGAAGCTCCATGATCCACACATGTGCTGGCAATTTTGCTGTTTATTTTTTCATGCTCTAATTATTTGGAAATTTCATTTTGTTTTTGCTCACTTCTCTCGTTAACTGGCATGCAATTTGTTTGCCCAAAGAGTTATGGTCTGCCACAAACCATACATCCATCTATCCGTCTGTCCATCCATTCTCTGGAGAGTGACGAGACAAGACCAGTCAAGTTTTATGGCCATACTTCCTCATCTACGAGTAGATATGCAAGATGGGAGAGACCCCTGCCCCGTCCGACTGCGGTCTTGTGTCTATTCTTTGGCGGTCAGATGTAAATGTCTTTGGGTTCGGGTTCGTGTGCGGGTTCGGGGCTTTGCTGCTTTTCCATCTTCCACTTCATTAACCCAATTTTCTCCAGGTGAAACTTTTATTTTTCGACAAGAAAAGTCTTGTTTATCGGACCCATTTACATACAGCCAGAGGTAGGGGCAGGGACGGGCCATAATCTCTGCTGCCATTCGCTCTTAACGGAACTAATGTCTTCACTTAGCTGTGGATGCTTCTCGCACTGCTGTTTATCTATTGAAGATTTGTACTCGTAAAGGCAAACACACACAAGCAGTGAGACAACAGGGGGGGAAAATATACTTAAGCAGAGGTTCACTTTTATTTGATTTTTTGTATATTTTATTTATGTGTGTGTGTATACACATTTTTATATGCGAACTGGCGGCGTTTTCGAAATTAAATACTTTCTAATTACAATAAACGCAGGCGGCGATGCCCGCCGGCCGGCCAATTGCCTGCCCCGCGCGTCCACACAGGCAGAGAGACCATCATGGCCTTTGGCAGCAAACTGAAATCACGTAGCCGCCACATCGGCCAATGCCAGTGCCAATAAAAGAGTGAGAGAGTGCGAGAGAGAGAGAGAAAACAAAACTCGCGAAAGTGTCAAGAAAATATAATGCCGCTCAGACTCACTTTTTCTTCATTGTCGTGTCTTAATGTGGCGCTTGATGTGTTTATTTGCCATTGGTACTCCACTCCCCCCCACAGACATGCCGCCATACCATCCTCATTCCCATCGACTGTTGAAGCCAATGAAAGTGAAACGTGCAAATGTCTTTGCGTACTCGCAGAAGCTTCCAAGGTTCAGCACGTGCCAAGCCCCAGTCGCAGCCTGCCTGTGTGGCCTGCCCCTCCATCCATCTAGCAATCCGTCTGCCTGTCTTTATTTTGTGGTCTTTCAATTACTCAACCGCAAAACATTCAATTTGTCAAGCGACCTGCCCTCGGATTACGACTTTCTCGCTCTGTCCAAACAAAAGACTTAGGACACAAACGCAAATTCGCTTCATTAGTTCGCTTTCTTTCGCTGTGCCAGAGTGCGTGGCAGAACTTAATGAGGGGGCTTTAGCGACTCGCAGACATGGTGGAATTGACTTATTGAGCCCTACGAAGGTCATAAATTGAATAATATGCCTGATGGTAAGGCTAAACACATTTTGAATAAATAAAGTTTGCAAAACAAATGAAGGATTCCAACGAAATGTGTCACTAAATATGGTTGGGGTTTCGGAAAGGTTTGTAATATTTCTTAGATATATAATATTTGCAGTCAAAGGTACTTGATTGACTCAATGTTTCGTCAGTTGCATCACAGCGAGACGTATGTCAGCATTCAGAGTTTGTTTATCCACTAAATGTTTTAGTCTTAGCATTAGGTACACATTTAAACACCAACCTCAGCTGTTCATTATTCTCATTTGGACTTTGGCTATACATATAATGCTAAATCTGACACGATCTGTATGGCAAATGTGAATAATTACTGCCAATATCAGATCAATGCAGAGACAACAGCATAAAATTCAATTTCAGTTCAGGTTTTTATGGCCTGGCCCCAAGTCGTGAGTTGCTGCAGTTGCAGTTGGGTCTCCTCAGATGCAGCAGCAGCAGCAGCAGCAGCAGCAGTTGATTAGTCAGCCCCATTTTGCTGTAGCTTTTCGTTTTGTTTGCCGCTTTTCTAGACCAAGTTAGACCAAGACAAGTTAAAGTGTCTTGGCCTACTGAATATTTTCTCACACTCTTGTCTTGGTCACGGATGTGGCTGGGGATGGGGATGGGGATGGGGATGTGGATTGATTGCTAATGTTCATCTGTGCATATGTAGGCAAGTATCTTGGCTGCGTTTAGATGTGGATACACTCGCGTCATTGCATCACATGCAGCGCAGATCAGAGACAGACCAGATCAGAGGCAAGCCAAATGCATTTGTCTGCCAAAGTACAAAGTATTTCTTCAGCTTCTGTCTGAGCCACACTTAGCTTTCTTCAGCCGCTACACCGCTGTGCAGCCTTTGTTTTGTCAGAGCTTTGCTTTATGGTTTTTCATATAAACAAGATACGAAATCCACGGGGAATAAGTGTGTATGTATGTACCTATGCCTATGTGGAGTAAGTAGCTCTTTCGAAATTGTCACATTGTTTGTCGGCGGGGAGCTGCAGTTATCTCTGGCTCACTGGCTTCCAACTCGCACCAACATTTGGAAACAAAAGTTTTGTAATTAGCTACGGCGCATCTTTTGCACAATCCGAAATGTCGTTATTGTTGTTGTCATTCGATGCCGTTGAGTGATAAAAATTAAAAACAATTTAAACTGTTTAGCGTGTAGCTCCCTCCCACAGCATATCCGGTTTCCGCCCCCCTTTGGCATATGCCAAATTGAATTTAACAAAGAAATTTGACTTTCGCTTTCAAATGCTCGGGCGCATAAATTCTTGAGATTACGCAAGAGGCGGTGGCGTCTCGGCATGCCGAGCAGGTGCCTTGCTGCCTGCCCTCCAACTGTAACTCCAAGTCCAATTCCACCTCCACCTCCAGCTGCACATTGACAGCGACATAGCCGACGGGTATGGACTCTTACCTCATTTGGAAAGCAGCGAACGAGCGAGCGAGAAATGAAAGTTTCTTGTTTGTTTTTTGGTTTTGGTTTTTAGTTATATTTCCATTTTCATTTCGTTCGTTCGTTCGTTCGTCGCCGTTGGCTGCGTGAAATTTACATTTCGTTTAATAATTTCAAACATTTCTTCGGGGTCGCTGCGGCATAAAATTTGAGGAATTAGCAGAGTCCCCCCCACACCCACAACAAATGGCCATTTTCCTGTGTCGTTTTGTGCTGCTTTGACTCTACGCTTTTTCCTTTTTCCGGCAGGCCTAACAATCGTTTGCCAGTGCCACGCCCACTCCCCCCCAACCAAGCAAGAGGCATTTTTGAATGGCAGTCGACAAAAATCGCATTTCATTGTCGCTCCCCTCCAACCCCATCAATGTGAAGTTCATTGGCTCTGCATTTTGCTGTGCCATAATTTATGCGTCGCCATCAATTTCAATCCCGGTCCATCGTTAGTAGCTGCCGCCGCTCGACACACTAATTGGCTATCTGCAGCTGCATCTACATCGTAGATTTGGTAGTCAGCATCTGGAGCGGACTATATCTGAGATTTGTCTGAGATACAATCAGTCAATATTTAATGTGCAGCTTGTGCAATGCATTTGTTACTGTACGAGTAGCTAGGATAGACAGACAACCCATCGTCGTGTGTGTGTGTCGTGGCTTGACATCAATTCGTGGCGCTGGTGCGTTGCAATTGCGCAAAAGATTTTCTGTGAAATATTGGCCGTCTGAGTCACCCAATTGAACTGTTCAGGTCACGCACATTCCACTTGGCTCGGGCTCTAACTGTGTGGTTTTTTTTTTCATTTTGCTGCTCTCCGTGCTGTGTTGTGCTTTGCTCTGATAATTCAGCTGCAGCCTCGCGTCTTGGTCTTAGAGTTTCACAGATCCGCCAGATCCGCAGGCGTTTGCCAAAATGTGTGTGGAGACTGCGGCAGAGTGGGCGGGTGGCTGTGTGGCCATCGGAGCGTGGCCGTTGCAGCCTCCAACACTGCAATTAAGAGTAGCTCCAGTCCCACTCGCAGCTACAAAGTGTACGAATATCTGACAGTTGGCATTGCAACATACTCACAGAGGTAATGCAACCCTTTGCCACTAACCACCTGGTAGTACTCCTTGGGCTCTCGACCCCAAACAGATGGCAGATCTATTGCCCTAACAAATCTGCGTTGAACTTTTATTTTCGACAACTAATTTCAAATTGTTTTTGCATATTTTGCAGCCACCTCTCAGCACTCTGTTGCTGTTGCTGTTGCTGTTGCTGTTTGTTGCTGCTGTTTATGGTAAGTTTACAATGGAATGACCTTCCGGCTCAGTGGGTGTTTACGCTACACACTCACTGTTCAGTGGGTGTGGCTGCTACTCTCAGACAGACAGCGAGTCGGGTAATCCAATTAAATCACACCCAAATGATCAGCGTAGCGATGAAACAATGTCAATGCCAGAGACAGTAGCAGAGAGGGGGCAGAGTCGGACATCAAGCTTATCCTCAGGCACACTCATTGAACCCGGACAAGCTGCGGGTACTAACGATCTGAACGAGCGGCACGGCGGCACTTGTAATCCGCTTTAAACCAGACCTTTTTTTCGGCACTAACATCCGGCTGTAGTCTGTGGTCTCTGGTCAGTGATAAAAAGCAGCCTGAAATGCCATTAATCTGTGGCTTCCCTTACTCCAAAACCGAACGAAAGTCTGCTGCAAAATGAAAGGGAAATTACCAGCCCCAGATCATACTTGCGCCCCTTTCTGTACGAGTTTTAGTACGCCTACCAGAGGGCATTGTCACATTTCACTTTCAATGAAAAGAGAGGCAACAGCAGCAATGATTTTCAAGTGCACTGCCCCTCCTCTCCTCCCTCGCTCTATCTCTCTTTTGCTCTCTCTCTCTCTCTCTGGGAGACTCACTGAGCTGTGACCATGAGTTTGCTTGTATCTTTTTTTGTGTTTGTTTCTGCTTTTTTGTGGCCAACTGGTTTGGTGGAACGAAGTCCGAAATATTGACCGCAAGTGTGTCTAATTTCTATTATTTTGCTGTCATCTCTCCCCCTCGGAACGAACCGATGGTTGGGGGGGTGCAACTGCGATGCAATGAACTTTCTTCTTTCACTGTGCCACCTGTGTGTGTGCAGCAGCAGCAGCAGCGTTGCAAGTTCCGTTTTTTTCTGTTGCTGTTACGATATTTCGCAGCCTTTTGCTTTCGTTTAACCCATTTAATGTGGCTGGAACGCGCACAGTTTGGGCCTGGCATCCGTTAAGAGAGCAGCAGCAGGGGCTTACATACTCGTATGTGCGATTAATTCAATGGAAAAGTGAAAACGAAAGTGCTTGGGGATCGCTGATCGTAGCTGCAGTTACTCACTTAAGCCAGTGGCCAGTGGCCAGTGCTGTTCAGGTTTTGCCTCACTTTCGTTTTCATATATGCTCGTACCCCAGCGAATCTTCGCCTGCCCCTTGACAATATGCCGCGCATAGGTGCAAGTTGATGATGCAATTAGCATCGGCCCAGACATCTCTGCCACAATTGCCACAAAACTTATTCCATATGCAAAATGATTTTCGCAATGAGGAAATGTCCATTGATCATGGTTCATGGCTGCTCAATGAGGCATTGCATTAGGAGGAGTGTTTGTTGCCCCCTCTCTCTCTCTCTCTCTCTCTCTCTGTGTGTGATTCGATTGCCGTTTCATTTTAAGTATTGCAATTTCTCGAGTTGTCCAAATGCAGACAAGTGCACAATTATGGCTGGATTGTTGGCTGGTTGACTAGCTGGCTGACTAGCGGCAGTTATGGACCGCTTGCCGACCAGTTAGCAGCACTTACAGTTACACTGGCCACACCACAACGCTGCAGCCAGCAGCGCAGAGCAAGTTCCAGTCAAGACCAAGACCATAGCCGGCAATTATCTGTTGATTTACTGCTCCCAGTCAGACAACAACCAAAATGCATAGAAAAGAAACCTTTCACTTGGCCGGGGCTGGGCTTAAGACGTTCGTTTGGTATGCAAATTGCTTAGAATGAAGGGAACGCCCTCTGACCTTGCCCGAGTGCTCCCACAGCTGCCTTCCGTTTCCCTCTGGTTAGGTTCAAGCCATGAGAAAAGATCTCATTAAAAATGCATCGAGGGAACTCTGACAATCGGTACAGACTGCAACCGGCAATCGGTTGACCTTTTCTTTTGTGCCAAAACCAAACCAAATCGCGACTTGTAACCTGTTCTTTACATTAATTTCGCGTTCCAGATTCTCGTTGATAAAAACCAACCCATAATTGACCTTTTGTTGGTGTTTGGCTTGTTCTTAGATCTCTTCTAACTCACAATCTCTCTCTCTCTCTCTCTCTGTCTCTGTCTCTGTCCCACCAGTCATATGAAGCTATGAAGCGAGGCATGCAACTAACTGCCACCTGGCTGTGCCTGCTGGCCACAGCCGCCACCTTTGCACGGGCGCAGCAGGAGTCGTCGGCCAAGTGGTCGCGGCAGCTGGAGAATGCGCCCACCTCCGATACGGATTCCCTGGACTGGATACCACTCGCCCAGCCGCTGGACGGAAGCGGTGGCAAGGATCGCTCCGGCAATGGACGTGTGCTGACCTACTCGCAGACATTTCCACCCAGCGCTCGTTTCGGGGAACTAAACAAACCTGGCGTAGCGCCGGGATCGCAGTTTGATTTCTCGTATCCGTTCCCAAGGTATTCGAATGGACAGGGTCAGGCGCTGCCGCTGCCGCTGCGACAGGGACCACCGCCATCGCTGAAGACGAGCGCCGGCCAGGAGCCCACCTCGCAGTCGTTCTTCAAGTTTGAGATGCCCTTCCACAGCAACGAGGCGGGACAGGGACAGGGACAGGCACAGGCGCCGCCCACACTGCAGACGGGCTACCAGATCCAGCACACCTTCGGGGGCGGCGGCCTCCAGGCACCCTCCTCGCTGTTCAGTCCCCCCTCGCTGTTTGGCCAGCAGCAGGCACAGCCCTTTGGCTCCGACTTCCACTCCCTGCCGCCAAAGTCCCTGAACAAGCCGCTGCGTCAGCAGAACTACATTCAGGACATTCTGCCACCCAAGTCTCATGCAAAGCCAACACAGCCCTCGCTGCAGAGCGTCACGCCTCAGGTATTTCCCCTCGATCCCGAGCCAGAGTCGATCTTTGGACTGAACAAGGCAGCGCCCTCATCCGCTCCCGCAACGAGTGGCGGCCAGCAGGAGGTGCAGCTGCTGTATGTGCCGTATGATACCCTGTACAACCAGCAGCGACAGCAGCAGTCGGGCTCCTCCCGGCCAGGTTCTGGCAGCGCCAACTTTGAGGTGAACAAATTCAATCTGAATGCAGGTCTGCCTGCCGTCAATCCCTACCAGATCAATCAGTTCTACACGCAGGATCCCAATGCGGGCAGCGACTTTTTCAGCTCAGGCACCACCTCCCGACCCAGCACCACCACCAGCCAGCCGCACAGCATCTTCCAGAGCTTTGGCCCAACCCAACAGCAGCCACAACCGCAGGCACAGACGCAGTTCAGCACGGCCAAGCCCAAGCCAAAGGCTCATCAGCCACCGCTGGCCATGTTCCTGCTGCGCTCCAGCTCCCGGCCCTCGCAGTCGGATGTGGTGGCTGCGCTGCGCAGTGCCCACAGCATCTCTGTGATCGATTCCCCCACAAAGCAGACGCCAGAGATCTTTGTGGGACCCGCGGGCATGCCCATACCCGATGGCTATGTGAAGTTCGATCTGCCGTATCTGTCGCAGTTGGCGCAGACGCGCGACCTCAGCGACGTGTCCTTCTTTGTGGCGCCACTCAGCTATCGTACACCGAATGGATTCAACAAGATACTGCTGCCCGAGCCGCATGTGGGCTCCATTGTGGTCAATCGCGCCAAGGACTCCGTTTCGGTGCAGACTCAGCCACCGCCACAGCGTCAGCCACAGCGTCAGCCACAGCGTCCCTATGCAGCTGTCAGCAGCACGCGGAATCCCTTCGAGACCACCACCCAGGCACAGGCACAGGCACAGTCCCAGTCGCAGGCGGGAGCACCTGTGAGGGGAAACAAGTTCAGTTACTACTACGTCCAGGATGGCATTCAGGAGGCTAGCTCCCCGAAGATACCCGCCAAACAGGAGCGCCACAAGAAGAAGCGACCACAGAATGTGCAGGTGCAGCACCAGCAGCAACAGCAGCCTCAGCAGCCCATCTACCGTCCACCCAGCAAGACACAGAATCCCTTCGATACGCTCAATCAGATTGGTGGGGATGATTTCTTCAAGTCGCTGACCAACAAGCCCACCACCAGCAGCTCCACCTCCACCAGCACGACATCGACCAGCACATCCACGACGACCTCCACCACGGCAGCGCCCACACAGCCCCTGTTCACGTACAGCACACGGCCGCAGGTGGAGTTCCCCGGCGCCAGTGGCCATCTGTATCCGGAGTACCTGCAGCCCGTGCCGGAGCAGCAGCAGCCCCGATTGACTACGCGTCCGCCGACAGCCACCACAGTGGAGGAGGAGCATCGCATGAAGCAGTACTTCCGGCAGCAGGATGCCTTCCGCCAGCGTCCGCTCACCACGATTCCGCCCGCCTTCGAGCAGGTTCAGTATACGCCCAGTGCGCCCGACTACGAGGTGCCCACCACGCAGAGGGTGAAGCATAAGCATCGCGTGAATGTCTACACGCCCGCAGCGGTGCCGGTGACCACCTCGGATGTGGGCTACCAAGTGGAGCAGGAGCAGGCACAGGTGCTGGAGCAGCCGCAGGCACCGCTGAACCACAGACCCAGCTACAACCAAGTGCAGAACGAGATTCTAGACAACAGCAACGTGGATTACGAGCCGAATCCGTACCATGTGCCCTCAGAGCTGCCGGCACTGACGCCGGACATTCCCGGATTGGTCAACAATCTGCAGGAGAAGGACAAGCTGCAGCCGGCGGGCACAACCATTCCGCCACAGAGCGAACCCGAGCAGGAGACGCGTCCCACGCGCCGTCCACTGCTGCGCACCCGCAAGCCGGCCGTGTCCAAGGTGGTGACCACCTCGTCCGTGTCCTACTCCGAGTCCGAGTCGAGTGGCAAGGTGCCGCATCGCATACGTCGACCATACGGCAATCGAGGCACTGCCGCCGGCGCAGCCTCTACCACGGGCAGCGGCGACCAGGGAGAGGAGTCTGCAGCGACGATACCCACACGTCGTCCGACCAGCGCACGGAATCCGCTCATACGCAATCCCAATCGCATCCGGTACAGGCCCACCACCGAGGAGCGTCAGTCGCTGAAGGTGAAGACCAGAAAGGGCTCGAAGAACGGGCAGCGCGAGGATCAGGATCTGGACTACCAGCGGGACGTGCTCAAGCAGAACTATCCGGTGTTCAAGGGCTCCTCATCGGCGCCCTCGCGCCGACCCACCAGCCCCACGGCCATTCCCAGCTCCTACGACTTCCAGGCCACCACCGAGGGTCCGGCATCAGAGTCCCAGCAGGTGTACACGGTGACGCCCAGCAACAGCATTGACGGAGCCAGTGAACCGGCTGCGGGATTCCCCGGCAGCCTGCTGGAGCCCATGCAGATTGCCCAGCACTATCAGGAGTTCTCCAAGGACAACTACGGGCCGGGGTACTTCCCCAACCAAGAGGATCTCACGCCCACCGAAGCCATTGTCCGCAACGAGGTGAGTCCCATCTACACCACGTTGGCCACCACAACGCCATCGACGACGACTACCAGCACGACGACAACCACTGAGGCAGCGCCCACAACCACCACGAGACGCTCGCCCTTCGTGCGCCGCAACTATCCGAGGCTGAGGACAACCACCACAACAGAGCCGCCAGTGACCAGCACCACGCCCTCAGAGGAGCGTCCTTCCGTAAGAAATTTTAAGAGAGAAAACTTAACCAGAGGAACACTCGCTCATTCTGTGATGTTTTTTGTTTCAGATCCGCTCCCGCCTGCCGCCTCGTCGTGTGGTCAAGGTGCGTCAACGTCAGCGTCGTCCCGGCCATCCTGCTTCGTCCACTGCGGCACCCGAAGAGGAGCTCCAGGAGCCAGCTACCCAGAAGCCAAATCTGCGCAAGCTCAGTCGCTACAACAACCAGGAGCCCAGGGAGAAGGAGGTAAGTGCGAGGTGCACTCCCATTTAGAGTCAAATCTAAGTTCCGAATCCTCAGCAGCCAACCATCACCCAGCGGCGTCGCTATAAACAGCCATTCCAGCTGGAGGGACAGGAGTCTCAGTGGTCTCCAGCCTCAGACAATGCCAACAGCAACAGCAACACCAACACGAACAGCTTCAAGCCTTTGAATCCCAAGTACAAGACGGAGTCGCACAACTTCGAGAATGAGCCAGAGATCGTGACGGTGGGACCCACGGGACAGCCGGAGACATACGAGTTCAACGTAGCTGCAGATCTTGGTGGATCGGCGGTGCAACGCACCACCACCCTCAAGGCGCCCAATCTGAAGTGAGTTTTAGCTTTTTGCTTTGCGTTGCCACACAGTCACTCATTTCCATGCACCCGCCAGACCAGAGAAATCCTTTGCCGAGCTGCTCGAGGAGGTGATGGGCAAAGTGCCCGAGGAACTGGCCACAGAGTCACCCAACAGCAGCAGCTCCATTGGCCGGCTGAACAGGCGCGGCAAGTGGAAGAAGAGCCGCGTGTCCAGTGGTGCGGATACTGGCGAAAACTTTGAGACGGCCGAGTCGCAGAATCTGGGACCACAGCTCTACAATGCCCTGCAGGCGGCCAGCGAGAAGGAGGAGCAGCAGCAGCAGCAGGAGAAGACCACCACCACCACAGCAGCAGCAGCAGCAACCACCGAGGCGGAGACAACAGAGGCGATAGTCAGGACCACGTCAGCGTCGCCCACAACGCCAGAGGAGTATGAGGTGACCACCGCCAGAGTCGCCTTGGAGGAGGCAACCATGGCATCGACGCTGCCCATGGAGCCGCCGGAGAGTGCCACGCGTCGCATGGACACCGCGGCGGATGTGGACGTGGAAGGAGATGGAGATGGAGAGGGCGACCTGGAGACGCAGCCCAGCATCTTCTCGGAGGTCAAGAAGCAACTCCACGATCTGTTCGCCATTGAAGAGAGCGAGGACGAGGCGGTGAACGGTGCACTGGCTGCCGTGGGTAAGCGTCGGCAGGAGTACACAAGCATCAAGCGCACCACACCAGCCACGTCCACGGACAAGACGACTCTGACGCCAGCGGACGATGAACTGACAGCCACAGCCACAGCTACAGCCACCACCCCCACAGCCACGGAAGGTGCTTCGGAGGGCAGCAAAGACAACTTCCACAAGGACCTCATGGAGCATGTGGTGTACGCCACATCCACATCGACCAAAGTCACCTCCGAGACGGAGATCTGCTATCGGGGACGCTGCATACGGTCCGAGGATCTGCCCGCCAACCACAAACTGCACTGAGTTGAGCTCCGGCAGAGCACGGTGGCACATGGTGGACTCTGCATGTACATAAGGGCAGACTGGATACGGGCCAGGGGCAGGTACGAGTGAGGATGGACAGGCAGCAGCCTTAAGGAGCGCCGCTAGTCAGCACAACTCCTCATCTGCAGCCCAGCAGCACAAGCACAAGCCGTATCCAGATGTAATTAATTAGCTTTAACTACAAATATATTCATAAGGATAAGCAGAACGATGGATCGATGGATGCCCCATTCGCACATATTAGGATTGGCCCGAAAGCTGTAGAATTTCTTGGATAAGAAGGAATGAACTATCAAAGAACTTCTTGAGGCTTCTCCTGCTAATCCTTGCGAGTGTTCCGTCACAGATATCCCCCTGGATAGACAATTTAGTGCATAGATCTTAGAGTTAGTGTAATGTCAGGATAGCATATAGCCAGCATAAGTCTTGTACCATACAACATTGTGTACTAACAAATACAGAATACCAATAAAATCAACAAAAAACAAACGACAAAATACAACCAAAATGAGTTTCAGTATGTTCGGATTCTGTATATGATTTCTGTACATATAAATAGTGTGTATATATCCTTGTATATGTCTCTGTAGTCATGTGTATAGCTATTAATACGATCAATCAATTCCATGGAATGCACTTCCCCCATCAAGGTACACGAGTTTTTCACAGCTTCACAGCACCCAATTCCCAGCTGCATCTTCGCTCTCTCAAGCTTCGATAAGCGGCGACCGATCCCCAGCAACGTCTTCTCGCTCCTCAGCGGCACTTGTTGCCGTTGGAGTTCTAGTTGGCGTGTTCCAATCTTGCACACTCGTGCGACCGAGCAGCATGAAGAGCAGATTTCCCATAAAGTAAACAAAAGCGGTGCAGAAAAAAACGATTCGCCATTGTGCAGGATTTCTCTGAAAGAGCAAAGATCAACGGGTAAACAGGGGAAATCAAATGGAATCTCACTCACCTCATCCCAGACAATCAACCCCACAATCAGCGGCGCCAGAATGCTCATAAAATTGGCCGCACAATTCGTGATGCCCATCAGAGTGCCCGCATAGTTGGGCGCCAGATCGATGTGATTGACGTGGAAGCCCAGATACGTGGCCGAGTTGGTGGCCACTGCCAGGGTGAGCAGAGCAATGGCCAGACGAACATTCGCCTCGCCCTCGGTGATGTAGCCTAGACCGATAAGCGCCAGCATGGGCAGCCACATGCCCAGCGTATTGAAGAACTTGCGGGAGAAGCCCAGTGGCAGTATTGTGCCACGTTGCTTCATTGCATCCGATAGCCAGATGAACACGCACGTGAGCAGTATCATGGCGAAGTAGGGCAGCGCGGACAGCGGTCCGTTGCTCTTGATGTCCATGCCCAGGACGCTCTTCATGAACGTGGGTATCTCTGTGAGCAGCGTCCAGAAGCCCCAGTTGTTGGCACAGTGAGCCAGCACGAGCACCAGAAACGGTCCTGAGGTGAGGATACGTAGCCAGGGCGTGCGCGGCCGTGGCTCCACCTCTCGCCAGACATCCGATGCACGGCGTGCCTGGCCAGACGACTCAATGTAGCGACGCTCAGCTGGCGTTATCGTTGGATGCTCGGCCGGAGTGCTTGAGCAATAAAAGTACCACACAAACGACCACAAGATGCCGGCACATCCGGGCACATAGAAGGTGCTGGGCCAGCCCAGCGAGGAAGACGCAATATAGCCGCTCACCGAGAGCATTACCACGGTGCCGAACTGCGAGCCCGAGTAACTATAGCCGACCAGTCGACCGCGCTCCTCTGTGGGCGCCCATTTGGATAGGAATGTGTGCGTTGAGGGGAAGATGACGCCCTGGCAGAGACCCTGGACAGCACGCAGCACGACGACAGTTTTCCAGCCGCCCGTGATGGCGCAAAAGGGTGTCAGCAGGGCGAGGCAGGAACATATTAACACTCCAAAGAAGAGCATATACTTGGCACCATAGATGGCCGAGAGATAGCCACCTGGCACCTGGGTGACTACATAGCCCCAAAAGAAGCTGCTCAGCAGATAGGACTTGACACTTTCGTTCCACTCGAACTCCTGCAAAACAAATTATTCTATTATTAAAAAAGGGTAATCCAATGCGTGGCTGTGCGTACAGGAAAGTCCGGATTGCTGGCATTGCGATCCGTCATGGCCACAATGGCCACGGAGAGATTCACGCGCAAGGAATAGGCTACGGCCAGGCCAAAGAAGACCAGAATGCACTGCAGATGTCGCACTCCAAATCGCGGCCCTGCAAATACAAATGTGCAACGTCAGTAAAACAGATGCAAACAAAGGGGAAGATCAAGCACTTGCCTGTGTTCCCTATTTGCTGGTAGCCAGTCCGGCTGCAGCTGGGGAAGCAGCCGAGCACCATATTGTGCGTCCAATTCTATCCACGTAGCCAAGTTAGTAGATGCTACGTGTGCGTGGGAGGGAGGAAAACTTGCAGCGGCGGCCAAAGTGCGTCTAATTAAATGTAAACACAGCTGATAACCAGTGTGACCGTAACAAGTGCTCGATGAATTTGGTACTAGCGTTGCCACACATGGCGGAAGCAGAAATTGTGCAAAACAAAACAATGAAATATACAAAACCAAAACTAAAATTTAAAATATTCAACAAGAAGATAAAGATAAAGATAAACGCCCCAAGTTGTATCGAAAAATCCAACTGTGTGGCAGCCGCGAATGCTATCGATAATCATCAGTGGGCGCCCAGTTCAAACTGGATGAAGTGAAACAACAATTTCGGTACGATTTGACTTGGTTTCAGCTTCGGTTTGAGCTGTTTTATTAAATGGCTTTGAATGTCTTCATTGCTTTTATCTTTCTTTTGTTTTGTTTTTTTTTTTTTGCCTTTTTTAGTTCACATTTCGTGCATCACAAGTTGGGTTTTTGTTTATTCCTAGCTTAAACACTAAACATAACAATTACTAGAGTTTTTTTAGCAGCTCATCTCTCTCTCTCTCTCTCTCTCTTTCTGCTATTTACACTGAACGCTTTCTCATGTTGCAAGTTTAATTTGATTTAGCTTTAGATTATGTACATTATGGAAAATACTGCAAACAATAATTTACGCTGCCTTAGAACTAAACAATTAACTTATAATATCGCTAATGGAAGCACGCGATCGTCGTTATGGTATTGTCCCTAACTATTTGACTACGACTAAAAACTATGAAACAACAGCTATGACTCGACTCAATCATGCCCCTATCGTGTGGTGGTTGTTGTGGTGGTTTATCCAGATCTAGCGCTTATCTTGGCCATTCGGTGATAGCGGCACTCCTTGCTCCACATCGTCCACCGACTGCTCCGGCGAGTCCCACCACTGCACCTCTGTCCGGCCAAAGACCACAAAGAGCAGGTTGCCGATGAAGTAGGCGGCGGCGGCCAGGAAGAACACCAGTCGCCATTCGTTTACATTTTTCTGTGGAAGATATCAGAGTTAGCAAGAAACTCGAGGAATGTTTTCAACGCCTTTCACTTACCGGATCTTGGACGATCTGACCGACAACAAGGGGCGCAATGCCGCTCATGATGTTGGCCGCTCCATTCGTGAGGCCCATCAGAGTGCCGGCATAGTTGGGCGACAGATCGATGTGGTTTACCTGGAAGCCCAGGTAGGTGGCAGCGCTGATGCCTACGGTGAGGGTCAGCAGGACGACGGCCAGCAGATTGTCCTCCTTCGGCACATAGCCCAGGGCGATGAGTGAGCACATGGGTATCCAGTGGCCGATGCTGTTGAAGAACTTGCGGTTGAAGGACAGCGACAACGACTTGTTCCTCTGCAGCACCTTGGACAGCCACACGAAGAAGAAGCTGAGCAGCAGCATCACGGTGTAGGGCAGGGAGGACAGCAGAGCACTCTCCTTGATATCGATGCCGTAGATGTTCTTCATGTAGCTGGGGATCTGGGTGAGCAGCGTCCAGAAGCCGAACATGTGGGTGCAGTGAACCACCAGCAGCGACAGGAACGGCATCGACGTGAAAATGGGTAGCCAGGGAGTCGGCGCCAGGTTGTCGGCCGACTGCATCTTGCCATCGCTGCGCGACTCCTCGATGAACTTGAGCTCCTCCGGCGAGATGAAGCGGTGCTCCTCCGGCGTGCTGGACGAGAAAACGTACCAAAAGACGACCCACACGAAGCCGCAGGCACCGCCCAGGTAGAAAATACTCGGCCAGCCCATGAAGGAGTCGGCAATGTAGCCACTCGTCGCCAGCATCACCACCGTTCCGAACTGTGCGCCCGAATAGCAGATGGTGCCCAGCATGCCGCGCTCGTTAGCCGGCGACCACTTGGAGAGCAGCGCATGCGTGGCCGGGTGCACTGCACCCTGGGTGAGGCCCATCGTGAAGCGAACGGCACACAGCGCAATCCAGCCGCCCAGCTTGAGGGCCAGCGGCGAGATGATGGTGAGGATGGCGGCGGCAGCCAGGCCAGCGAGCAGCAGCATCTTGGCTCCGTACCGCTGGGCAAAGTAACCGCCGGGCACCTGGGTGACGATGTAGCCCCAGAAGAAGCTGCTCAGCATGTACGATTTCTGGCCTTCGTCGAATGGATAGTACTGCAGGAGGAAATGCCAAAGGGTGAGCGAGTGTCGAACTGGAGTGCTGCCAGGATCTTACCTCTGCTTTGAACAGACCAAAATCGTTATCATCATCGTCTGGCACGGCGTTGGCAGTGTCATTCTCAGTGACATTCACCGAAGGTGGCTCGGACATGGCCACCAGGGCCACACTGAGGTTCACCCGCCAGGCGTAGCACATCGCCAGGCAGAAGAAGCAGAGGATGCATTGCACATGCCTCACGCCGAAGAGTTTCTCTGCAAGGAAGAGTAATTTAATTAGCTTAAGGCTCATGGCATACTCTGGAATAAGATGAATGGAATGGATTAAGCACATGCGCCTGCGCCCACTCTCTGCCTCAACAGGTGAAAACGTGTTGGCAGATGCTTCGCTCTTATCAACAGACAGACGCCTCTCTCACGCTCTCTTTGCGCTGCCGATCTCTTTGCTGCTCACAAAACTGGTAGCCATGTTAGTATGTGGGGCGTTTGGGTTTTATTTATAAAACACTTTGACTATGTCAAAATCTTGTTCGTGCACGCACAGACATGCACGAACATGCACAGACGCGCTCACTCTCGCACGCACACGCATACACACACACGCACGCCCACTATGAGCACAGCGGTGGCTGCGAATATTGAGAGACCTGTGCAGGCCGTGTCTGTCGTTGTAAGCGTTGTACAAAACGCAACACACAAATGTACATAACATAACATGAATGTGCTGCTGTACGGTGCTGTACGTTGGCTGTATGTACATACAATATGGCCCAAAGCGCAAGACGAGTGAGTGTCTCGGCTGCTGCTGCTGCTGCTACCTGTTTGAGGCCGAACAGCAGTCGCCCGATCCTCACGTGACCAAAGCGAACACCTCATCCATCCCAGAGGAAACATGATTCGGCGGCTGTTTATTTATTGGCGGTGGCCT